CACTACCTCAGGTGAGAAGGGGGATCACGAACATAGACTTCAATGTGCACTTCAATTATGTGGTAGACTACCACGACACTTCCTTTTTTTTTTGCTAATACAGCTAAGATTTCGAGTTTATGTTTCACATAACCATGTTATGGTGGCTACATGAGATAATATCCGTGTCATCTGGTTGACAGACTCCAATGAGGCACAAAACACTATATAATACAGGCTAAAGATGCTGGGAGTGAACTAAATAGGAAGTTCTATTCTCCCAGCAGCCGAAACAAACTTCAGAAAATAATTTCATGTGAAAGTCGTGTCATATTGCTACTCAGAGACTGCATCCTCATTAGTGATAACTCTATCCTCAAAGCATCATTTTGTTGTTGAGGTAGAGAGAGAGCGTGCGTGCACACATATATAATGAGACGTGGGTCGAAAGACGACGCCCCCACACGTCAGATATACTTCCGGAGCACCTGGAATGACGTATAATAATCCAAACAGTTTATTGATAAAAAATATATGGCCACAATATAGACCTGAAAAAATTTTATTCATTGGCTTAATTAGTAAATCGCACTTCTGAAATGTAGACCGGAAGTCAGTGTAACTGTGAACAGAGCCTTGTAAAAATAGACAAAACCAAAACAAAGGACGAGCACCAATGTCACTTTTAAAGTACGTTCCGGCACTACCTTCCTGTCAAGTCATCAATTTTGAAACTGTCTCGTTACTTATCACTCGGAGGTAAACAAGGATTAGATTAAACTCTTAAGTTAAATAAAGACCTAACTAAGAGTTCTGAGAACAAGTTCACCCCAAATATTTCCCAAACATATAAAAATACTACTATGAGTCTATGATATTAGCAATGTCACTACTGCCTAGTTGCAAAGCTTTGAAAGAAAAACTGGCATTAATTTTCTTCAGAAGAACCATTTTCTAGAAAAACACAAGCACAGGACCAAAATAGTGCTTTGCTAATCAAACTAATTTAGTATTACTCTGTTGTGTTCTTCTGAGCTAAAGCAATATGCAATAATTAGGAGAACGTAATTTCTCATCAAAACCATGACTGCATGGACATTTAATCAAAACTGGCAGGAAGAATTTTTGAAGTTCAGCCTTGGAGGACCAAGTGGCATTCAGTGGGGCACACATGGCCACATATCACCTTAAGGGAAGACGCTGGTCTTGAAATAAAAATTTTCAATATTGGAGGTAATATAATGAATATAGGTGTGTATATGAATTTCTTCCTCCAATTTTTCAAAAATATAACTAGTTTTAATGTACACCAACTAGTTATCAAATTGTGAGAGTATAAGTGAAGTCCGTGTAATTTCCTATGGGTCATTAAGGCACCTTCCCTCAATATTTTTAGGTTCTGTTTAGGATGCAGCTGTAGCCAAGGACCTTCCATGTAGAGCTATGCTACTTATATTGTCACTGAGACACATCATATAAAAATTCTCATTTGCATTGATGCTCCATAATACGAAAATTTATTTATCTCAGATTATTGTTCATAACATTTCATATGTCCCTCTTAGCCACAAAAAAAAAATAGCATAGCTCCACAGTTCAATTTCTTACAAGTTAAATGCTATAGAATTTTAAAACATTGCTTCACAAAAACATGATGAAAAGTACCGTAAGGTTGGTCAGGTTGGCAAAAAATCTGAAGCTAAGAAAATTGCATTTGAAATTTCGACATGCACTGCAAAACTTTCTATGAGGAACTTTTACCCCAAATTTCGTACACATGTTCCTCATCTATTCCCCTGTAAAACAAAACAAAATAAGCCTTATTCCACCCTCGGAATCATTTCTAAAAAAATTTCCCAATGTGGAAAGCATTATCAAAACACCACCATGACAAGCAGTTCAGGGGTTCTGGAAAAGCTGTAAGGTATGAGGCTCAAACAACTAGCTGCTAGGCAGCATGCTGTCCTTGGTAATAAGTTTTCGTTTCCAGACCCTCAAGGGACCATGAAAATGGCCGGAAAATTGGGCATCCGTCCAGAAAAACGAATGCCCGCAAAAATACCCCTTTTTATAGGTATTTTTTGCTGACACAGAGGGTCATAGCTTTAGTACAAAATTCTCGTTGCAATCTTGTAAATGCATCGTTTAAGTGGCTCTGAAAATAGCAGTTTGTCACAACAAAAAATCTGTTTGGCCGGTGCCAGCTCAGTGGTCAACACGTTGGCCCCAAAAAAGTCTATTTTCTTTTGCACGACATTTCGCTTGCCCACGAAGATGTCTGCCTCAATTTCAGCTACACGTCATGTTGTCGCTGTTCACCGATGACAGTGTCATCAGTGTTCGCGTCAACTCCGAGCTCATTGGCTGTGTAGGCGCTACCGAAAATAAGATGGCAAAAGCTATAAGCGCTGACTCCAAGGAGTCGAACTTTGGGTAGGCGACTTTCCCGACAGGACGGTCTTCGTTCGCGCAGATTTCTCCACTCGCTGTGCCTGCTCCAATCACGCAGTATCAATCCGAAGTATATCGCTTGCTGAACGTGGTCCCTCGGCATCGTCAGAAGCTCTGCTGTTAAAGTTTTTAGCGAATCCAACGAGTCCGGCCACGACTGCAACTAGCTGCCAAAGGGCACTTGTGGCAGGTGCCTCTTTGTTCCAAGGCCGTTTTTTACGACTTCCGAAAGTTCGTCGCCTCGATGGTTTCAGACGAGAGTCTCCAGGCATCTTGATCGCCGTGAAAAAGTACCGGTGCAAAGCGGAAACACCGTGAGTCGATAAACACGCACAATTGCAAGAGCAGATGCACACAAACGGGTAGCCACGGCGGCGAACGCAGCATAAAGAAAAAAAAGAAGACACTTCAGTCATCCCAGCCAATGGGAGACTCAAAGGCCTGAGAGCCAATCGGCGATCTGGAAACGACCTTCAGAAAATCTGCGACGGCAGCCATTCCGCTTGAGCAACATCATTTTGAGATGGCGCAAAAGGTGCACAAAGAAAACAGCTTCAAATCAAGCCCTAGATGGTGGTGCTCGGTCCGCCGCAATGCACATGGCGTGCCCAGGAAGTTCAAACAAATTTCGTCCTTTTGGAGGCATTTTAGTGCACCCGAAATGCATTGAAGGCAGATTTTATCGCGTTTCCTGCCCGAATTTAGCGTTAGCAATTTCAAAGCAGGTGCTCAGAAGTACAAACGCCTCGAAAATAAGCTTAGCAAAAAATAGATTTTTTGATAATTTTTTACTGTTCTAAGACCCGCATCTCGCCTTAAAAGATAATGCACCTGGCTGAGCGACCAGATGCACAAATTCCTTGGTAATCAATGCAGATGATCTCTGTTGGTATGCTATATCAGGCCACAGGTCTGCTTTGCACTGTTGACCCCCCCCGGTGCCCCTTTTATTATTATTATTGTTGTTGTTATTATTGTTTTGCATTGTTGCAGTTTCACATTTCCAGGGGTATTTCTTCTGAAGAAAATGCATCACCTTACAAGAACACAGACCATGTGGCTCAATTCAATCGCTTGGCAATACAGCTTGCTACCGCACAAAGCATGAAAAGTAGGGGTGTGCAAATATTCAAAATTTTGAATATTTTTTGCTATTTGATTCAATTTGCACTGGAATTTTGACTATTCGAACTTCCCCGAAGACAAATACAATCAATGTCCGATTGACAGTGGCCCCTTCAAATTTTTCAATATGCTTCACCCCTCCCCACAATATTGTGGCAAAGCTCCCTTTCAAGCTCTGCTGAAGTCGCAAATGTATTGGCTTGAGAAAATGCTGCTTTCATCAGAGATGATTGATGCGGAAGAGGGGGGGGGTCATGTAATCCTGTTATGCACCAGAAATTTGGGCAAGAAGTCTGAAAAATCGCACGCCAAAAATTTTTAGCATCCATAATTTCATGTGTTCTTATATATTTCAGTCTATGCGGCAGATTTGGAACTTCATACTGAAAGGAAGCACGACATTACCCACCACATCAGTTGGGCTTCCACACAAGTTGAAAGAAGAGGAGAGGCTGAGGGAATAGCAACTTTGCCTTTCACGTGTATTGTTGTCAGCAACACTTTTGATGCACCAAATAATGATTGATATGTGGGGCCTAACGTCCCAAAACCACCATATGAAACCACGAAATAATGTGCGTACATAAATACAACTAGGCTTCTGCAATGCCTCTTTCTTGATAACACAACTATGAAACACCACCCCACCAGTGCTTCATCAACCTAGCCAAAAGAAACACTTTCATGTTGCTAACTCATAATATGCTTAGGCATCCTCTCCAACTTTTTTTTTTTTTCAGCAATTTCACTTCGATGTATTCAAAAGTGTTTTAGGAATATTTGAGGAATATTTTCTTCAATTCGCACTCACACTTATATATTAAAATTCACTTCGCACCCAAAATTTCGCTATTCGTACAGTTCTAATAAAAACAGAAAAAAAAGGACATCTTACATCAAGGAAGTTCTAAATGTGACAGTGCATAACCCTTCTAGGTGCGAATTATGATGCGCTGTTTAAGGATGTGTCGAACTGACATAAAATAACCATTCCAAGACACTCTATATTACATTAAAAAAAAGGAGATAAAGCAATGTGTTTTATGAGTCAATAATTAATTGTAGTTAGCATGTCATCAAATAGTGAAGTGTTCTACAGTCACATTTTATTTTGACATAAAAAGAGTGAAAACATTGGCTTCAAATGTGTGCACAATATGTTTAAGTTTGTATTCATTTAGAAAAAAAAAGTAACAAGTTTGTGGTTCTGCAACGTGGCATGTCAAACATTGTAGTGCCTTCACCGAAGTGATCGGATAGTCACATGCAGCACAGTGAGGTCAAGACATACTGACTATGCGGAAGGTTCAATTCATCCAATGAGCCATATGTGCTGCTGTATTTTTGCCACAAGTTAACAAAACCAGACTATCATGTTGGGTACACAAATGTAGCCACCACCAATGCAGGGCATCAAGAAAGAGCATGATAAGGAGCTGGCTTGCCTGATAGCCAAAGCATACAACTGGAACAGCAGTCAAGACATCTTCCAGAGTGTTGGGAGAGCTTCTGGTGCCAGGAGACTTCGACTCTCCAACAAAGTACTGCACCACGACCAGCAGAACCAGATAAAGGGCAGCAAGCACACCAAACATACTGCAATAAAGATATCACATAATGCACTGAATGAGATTAACCAAAACCAACGTCCCAAAACCACCGTATGAAGAGACGCCGTAGTAGAGGGCTCTGAAAATTTCGACCACCTGAGGTTCTTTAACGTGCACCAAAATATGAGCACACGGGCCTACAACATTTCCGCATCTATGAAAAATGCAGTCGCCGCAGCCGGAATTCGATCCCGTAACTTGCGGGTCAGCAGCTAAGTACATTAGCCACTAGACCACCGCGGCGGGGCCCACAATAACTGGGGTGGGTAATAGTGCGCTATTACAGGCAAGCAGAACAATTATTTGGTACACAAATTGTACCAAATTGTAAATTATTGGTACACAGAACCATTTACCATATTTTACTTTGGCATCCTTAATGCCTTAACACTAAAATATGACAAGAGCTTGTTGTTTGTCCACGAATACATGGTTGTCCCTCATTCCTTTATTTACTTGTGTGGCTTATGAAAATAACTGCTACATGTTATTTCTATATCTTATTAAGAGGAATCATTAAAACCTAAGCAAACCACATAACCACCAGTTCATGACCTTCAAAAACTCTACATCTACAACACTATTGTACTGCTTCAATATGGCATTACTGTTGGTTCTCAGAGATCTTAAAAGGGTATGGTAGCGTAAAGTCCCTAAAATATTGAATTTACAATTTTGACACAAAAAAAAACCCACTGTACTCTGAGAAACAAACCTGTGGAAGCCCGATGTCGAACGGCCGCTCCAAGCGGTTTAAATGCCGCATCGAAGTACGCTGCCCATCCTCTGGCGTAAGCAGTATACACACGTAAAACTTCATTTTTCTCAAACTGCATTTTCTGTAAATTTTTCAACTTCAAATTACCTTTTCTCAAAAAGTATGAAATCAATTTTGATGAAACTTAGTATACGTGAGGTACAGAAAGTTAGAAACAATCTGAACTGAAAAATTTGCCGATTTCCTAAAAAGTGAAGCTGTAAAAAAATTACACAACAATATGCCTTCTCCGTGGCATTGGGCAAGCAGTATTTTTTTGTTGTTACAAGAACTTCATGACAAATGTAATATTTTTTTTAGCTCAGATGTAACCTACGAGTCTGCAACAACACGGCTGATAATGGTTACATTCCTTTTGGTAGTTGCAGACAAAAGGTACAGTGAATAAGTGAACCCTCTTTAAAATTTGGGTGTGGGCCATAGGAATGATAAGCAGCCTAGGCATAAAAAAGGTGCTCACTTGATACTCAGTGGAATTTTTTGTGAGTACGCAAAATTTTATGGGAATACTTGCAGCCATTTCTAAGATATTACGCTAAAACTGACACATACGATTTATCCTACCATACCCCCTTAAAAGGGCTTTGCAACACTTAGCAACATGGTCACATGACACTGCTAATCGGTAGTCGCGGCTCCCGAGAACACGTGAGCCAAACATTATAGCACAGCTTAATGACTGGAACTTGCAATTATTTCTCAAAGTCAGCTAAAAGTTGTCCCCTCTTCTTTCTACAAATGATGCCATACATCCAAATAACCAAGTCATATACCAAAATTCATGGCCATTGGCTGGTTTAAGCATCATGGGTTGCATAGAAACTGCTGCCGCCATGAGAGGCCACCATGTACCCTTTTGCAACTCCTTCGAAAGTAAAGTAAGCCGCACGTCCGAAGGGGAAAAAAATGCAAAGCTCTCAGTCACGATACCCATGTGATGCAGCATCTTTTCTCCGTGCCCTTCGTCCCCTATTAGCTTTCAGCGCATTCCTCGAGACGAGAGAAAGCAATTACAGTGCTTGAAAAATCTTCAACTTTGCTTGTACCAAACGGATTCTAAAACTTTTTGCGGCAGTCAATTCAAGAGGCAATAAACTCCTTTAGTGAAGCCATTCAATAATTACTTGAAAAAGTGCTGCAGAAACCTTTAAGCAGTAAGGAACCCTTTGATGTTGATTGATTGATTGATTGATTTGTGGGGTTTAACGTCCCAAAACCACCATTTGATTATGAGAGACGCCGTAGTAAAGGGCTCCGGAAATTTTGACCACCTGGGGTTCTTTAACGTGCACCCAAATCTGAGCACACGGGCCTACAACATTTCCACCTCCATCGGAAATGCAGACCCTTTGATGTTATTTGCAAAGACTGCAATGTTATGCAAATTTTCCAATAAAAATATATCACTACCATCAGTTCATAGCTCATAGCAATTGTAAATGAAAACCATTGCAAGTTACCACCATCTCATTCTGGGATGTGCAGTGCCGCTGCTGCACCAGATGATTTACTAAAGCCAAGCCATGATTGGTTCAAAGCACGGGCCTTCTACCTCAAATTTATTGAGTCGTCATCGTATACTGTGCGACTTGTAAGTTTTAAACAATCAACTGTATTTGCTTTACATTCCTGTCTCGATGCTGCTATAGTAAAGCATGGCGCACCCGATAGAAAGCTACTTCACAACCCCTCGCGCCCAATTGTTACCTATATCATAGGTTAAACTAAATGAACCAGAGGTGTTTTTTTTCTCTGTTTAATTATCCTCTAATTTCCAGTTTAAACTTGTTTTGAACCTTATACAAACAACCATTTTTGCCAGTCTCACGCGAACACCTAGTTGAACAAAGCAATGATGGTTGAAGCAAGTTTAAATATAAAAAAAAAAAAGTATAACTTGCACAAATGTGCATAGGATTTCTGTGGGCATTTTTGAGCATTGCCGCTTGGATAACGCACCAAGAGACCTTTCTTGAAAGAGGCCTCTATTATCTTTAACTCCATGCTCACCTCCCACTACTCCCTCAATGAAGCTCTGAAAACTACTATATTATGCAACACTCTTTGCAATAATTTGTATGCAGGCAATCTGTTAGTGAAGAGTGTCCAACGGTAGGTTGTAAGATAGGCCAGAAATGCAATGCATCTTATCAAATAATGTTACAATACCAATGAGTAGCAGCCTGAAGTAATGACTATCTTAAGAGTTTCAGAAGAATCAGTGCCACTTCCATTTAGTCCAGTACCTGGGGTACTTGAGAAAATCTATCTTCCGTGAAAAACACATTGGGAGGATGAGAACAATTGATGCCGTGACAATAATGAAGTCCCGATGCATAAACCAGTGAATGCAGTAGCTTGGCCCGTACAAAGATGCAAAAACTGAAAAAGAAAAAGTTTCAATATTTATACAGCTGAGCCCTGCAAGAAATCATGCAAAGTGACATGCGAAAATGTTTATGCAACTGCCCAAAATTCTATGCACTTTATAAAAACCTGCAAATTCGATAATATAATGCCTACATTATATAACAGTGCATTAGGACAACGTAGAAGGAATGTTTTAGATGTGCCATTGGGCAAGTTACTTACACAGATATCACCCATTTTCACTTAAGAACTGCAATAAAAATAAGGTTTAGCAGGAACAATGCAATCTTATAGCACAAGAACAGTATGAGGGTGGGACATCACATGCAGAAAGTTTATTACTTTAATTTTCTATCATAATTAATGCCTTTGTATTTCATTTCATTTCCTGTTTACAAAGAATGCTATAAGAGGAAGTTGAAAGCCTTTCTAAAAATTCACTCTAGGAAATACATGCTAACAAAGTAGTCTTTATATATGAACAAGTTCTGAAGCTGCCACGAGGTTTTTTTTACAGCTGTGTCACGGAAACACTAGAGGAAGAAGGCAATTACATCAAATGGTACAGAGAACAGCTTAATGTCATCGAGTAAACACGAAAATGTATTTATAAAGCTTGATCAAAAACTTGACTACAACCAGAGAAAAGCTAAAAAAATCCAGCCAGTTTCTAGCCGTATGCCACTTCCGAATGCAGGACAGAAATGGGAATCCATCAAGTGCATGTATTTTTCCTAGTTGTTTTGCAAGTATGATTCTGTACACATTCGCCACAAGAAAGGTAATTAATATACTTGTATAAACACTTAATTAGGAATTTCTCCTAAAACTCAACCAACTTTTTTGAGTACTGCATTGAGACATCTTATATGGGCACTCTGTGGTTCTTTATGTCACAGAATCTTAAAATTCTGTTTCCTTAAAAATAGCAAATGCACTTATTATAAAACACTCTAGTACAGAATATGTTTATTTTAGCAATTATGCAAAAAGGAACATTTTGCCAAAATGTAGCACTTCACGAATGATGCCAGTCATGCATCTAGTTGCCGATGGTCAGTGCAGCATTATGAAAAAAATAATGTGCCCCCTCCGCCTGCATGTCTTTCTTCGTTCAGTGTGCCTCCTGTTGCTCCAGTAAATTAGCCATTATTAATAATATTTTGTGGTTTAACACCCCAAAACCACCATATGATTATGAGAGATTCAAAAACTAGCCATTATTAACTCAAAAAGTAACATACCCTGCTACAGATCACTTATCATCAGCTAAAATATGCCATCAAATTGTGTCCATTCTTCACTGTCCAGTTTTTGAAGATCATTGTTGCTATGAAGTGCAGCTGCAGAAGTACTCACTGCGATCTGAGAAGTCCCCCACAATGACTAGAAAGGTGATGCATGTGCCATAGCAGTACAGTGCCACAGCCAGCAAGCAACAGCTCCAGAAACGGGGCCCACACACGCGCAGCACCACTTCTTGGTATGTGGCACAATCATGCTGCCTGGCACAGTAAGCCAGTACAAGCAGGGCTCCCACCACAAAGACAAGCAGCACCTGTCACATGGGCGATGATTTATGTTACACACAGTTCCCATACCTACTACACTACTTTCCAAAAGAAAGCAAACATATAAAAACACACCAAAGATGCCCTGTGCACAAACCTGCAAAGCCACAGCTTTTCTGCATACCATGTAGATCACTTTCACTGATATTGTATGGCCAAATATACATACATACTATTAATTCTTGCATTTGTTAATATTAGAGAGATTAGAAACCTTGAGTAAGGGGCATATTCGGAGCCAGATTCTCTTAACCATTGAGTAATTATTTTATTTAAATTCATACAGTCAAACTTCTTCATAAGAGACACCAGTACGTCTACACAGGAAAACTTTGTCGCTACGGACAAAACCTTCGCCGACTACACGGCGGGATCCCTTCGCGCTCTGGCGCTAACTTCCGTCTTCTCCTGCTCTCTCATCTCGGCTGCTCGATTAAATACCTTCCGCGCAAGATTCCAGAAGGTTCTCGTCATTTCGTCGGAGCGATGCGCAGCGGAGGCTGGGGGAAGGCGCGAGACTGTGCGAGGGCCGTCCCCGACAGATGACTCAACCCGGCATAACACGCCCCTTTCCTTCTAGAAATTTCCAGTGCTTGCTCAGCCGCCGTTGTGGGGTGAGGAGGTTCGTCGGCGAAGCCACGCTTCCGAGAGGAGAGGCTCGCGCGCCCGGGGAGCCTTTAGATGTTTCTTTTCTTTTTCTTTCTTTTTCGTTGACCTCGCGGCGTCACTCCGGCGTTTCGTCGCGAGAATTTGGCGACGCGCCCTTTTTGAGCGCTCGTTCTGTGACACTGCCCCCCACTTTAAGAATATTATCTCATAATATTCAAAACCACACAAACGAGCGCGAACGGTCACCACACACTCTCACAGACTGTAACACAATCCGGCGCTCATGACACTTCACATTCACAAGAGATCACTAAATACAACTGTACATTGTAATTCAGTTCCACAACACATGAAATATAGCCACAGGTACATGACTACAACACTTCATCACACATTCCAAACAATACAAATGTACAAAGTTCTCTCATTACAACAATTACTATACTCACATCATTACTATACATCACATCACCGTAACAAACATTTTGACTCACTCAACATACAGTTGTGACACAGGACAACAAGAACATTAACACAACATATGGCACTCAGCCCCGCCAAACACAATTCGATTCCACCTCAGCACCTATCCTGTGTATTTCGAGCGGCGCTTGCGCCCTTTCTCGTGGTGCTCTCTCGATCTCTTCTTATTGTTTTTGCTCGTTTTGTTCCGACGAGCCCCTTCCAACGACGGTATCTGAGGCAGCGTCTCAGCCATCGTTGTCACTTCCGACACCGTTAACGGGTCATAACATTCGACGGGTCCTATCTGTTTATTTACCAGCTTGATCATGTCTCTACATTTTGCCCGGCTGGCCAACTCCGTCTCCTTTACACTGTCGGTCGGTTGAGGTCGTACCGACGTAAGTCCAGTTACTCGGCCCGTGAACTCATTCAACACGATCATCTTTTCATTCACTGTCTCTTGCGCCGCGGCTTCACCTTGGGCTCTAGTGAGATCCGTCACGGGCTGCTCCTCCACTGTATCTCGCGATCGCTGGGTTGGCGAGGGCTCTATCTTAGGGTCTTCTCCCAAGCATTCTGGATCATTCGGTCCTCGCGCCCCGTCGATGTTTCCGATGACAAGGTCGTACAGGGGGGTCGTCATGCATAAAGCAGTAACCTTCCCGCTGAAGTACGGGGTTTTAACCTCAATTTCTGTTTCGGGAAGCATCCGAACCGTACGGTCAATTAGGCAAACCAGTTTCATTTTGCCTGTTAACTCACTTTCCCGTACCAGATTTCTCCGCACCATAACAGTGGAGCTGCTGGTATCTCTTAACACCGTAATCTTTTTGTCCGCAACTTTTCCAGGCAGCGTTGGCATTCCCTTCGAGACACCGGTTGGCTGTTTTGTCATAACAGCACCCACAATAGGGATTTTCTCCCCATTTTTCAACTCTACGAATCCATCGGTGACGTCATCAACGGTTTTTTGTGCCACTTGCACACAGGATACCTGGTTGGTTTGACTCGCTCCGTTTCGACATGCGTCTGCTTTGTGCCTGGTCTGACCACACTTAAAACATTTTACTACCGTAGGGCTCGTAAAGATCGTTCGACAGTTTTTCGCGCGATGACCCAGTCGGTTACACAGAAAACATCGCGGAATGCTCTCTGGTGCACGCTTCTTTTCTTCGGGAGCCAATTTCTTCAACTCCTCGGGACAATCCTTCTTGACCTTGGCCAAATTAGAGCCACCTTGCGCTTCCAAGAATTGATCAGCCAATTCAAGCATGTCTTCAAGTGAGTCAGCCTTCCTCTCTTTCAAGTACAGCGACAAGCTTGGGTGGCAACTAGTAAGAAATTGTACTCTAATTAGGAGCTCTCTAAGCTCATCGTACTCCTGCGCTGTCCCTGAAAGTTCAATCCATCTGTCGAAATAATGGCAAAGCCGGGCGGCATACTGCGTAGCCGTCTCACCATCAGCTGGCTTTCCTGTCCGAAATCTGTCCCGGAATCCTTCCACAGTAAATCTGAATCGCTTCAGCAAAGCAGCTTTCACCTTTGCATAGTTGGCTGGATCGGTCGGCGTCAGCCTTCCGTACACACTGAGCGCTTCACCACTCAAGCAAGTACTCAAAGCAGTTGCCCATTGATGTTCCGGCCAATTCTGGCTCCTTGCAATCGTCTCAAATCGGTGAAGGTACGCGTCAAGGTCGTCCTTCCTCTCATCAAACGCTACGAGCAGCTTTCTTGGGTTCAAGCGGAAGCCATGATCTTCCCGTTCGCTGCTTTCAACTCTAGCTTGGACGGGAGTTTCACTTCGCTGTTGCAACCGGAGCCGCTCGAGTTCCATCTCGTGCTGCCGCTGCCGTTCCCTTTCCTCTCTTTCTTCTTTCAGCTGTCGCTCCTTTGCCTCTCTTTCTTCTCTCGCCCTCTCAGCGGCCAGCTTTTCTCTCTCTAACTCCAACTTCAATTATTGCTCTTTTTCTTCCTTCGCCCTCTCAGCTGCCAACCTCTCTCGTTCCAACTCAGCTGCTTTTTCTTCCTTGGCTCTCTCAGCTGCCAACCTCTCTCGTTCCAACTCAGCTTCTTTTTCCGCTTTGGCTCTTTCGACCGCCAGCCTTTCTTTTTCCAGCTCAGCTGCCTTTTCTTCTTTGGCCCTCTCTTTTTCTTCTTTTTCCTTCTGGGTGACCCACTCCCGTAGTTCGGCGCCAGAAAGACCCATCTTCTCACCAAGAGCGACTAACTTTTCGAGATCCATTTTGTCTCGCAACTCGCAAATAAAACCTTGCCGTGTGCAAAAAGTATCTGCCTAAATCAGTCTATCGGAACACTCCCCTGCACTCGTTAACGAGAACACTGAACAACACACAAAATCGTTCCGATAGCACTATCAACAACTCGAGGCTCTTTCTCACTACTTTGGACACACTGTGCACCAAAAGGTCCTGTGTCGCGGACGCCAGATTAATTGTCACACAGGTCCCGTTAATTAGGGAGGCGATCGCCGGGCTAATTCCAAGGGCCGAAGTATCGGCCCCCCGAACCGCACCACGAAAGCGTGGACAATTTAGAAGTGGTCCTATTTGGCGCGCCAGCGGACGCCGGCTGTGGCCCAAAGAACAAGTCAGAGCCGAGAGTTGATAAACAAACGAAATTATATTCTGAATACTGGCAGATCAAAACAACACACAAGTATGCACACTCCACAATAGTTGAATACAATATGTCGCACACCAAACAACGTACTACACAGTACAACCAGCCACACTCGAAACAACGGGCACAGACAATAATACGCACTACAATGCAGTCGCATGCATTGAACACCAAGACACTTAAAGACTAAGGACGTAGAAAACCTATTCAGTCCAAAGTTCTTGGAACAAAAGTCGGGATGATACTCTTCCGAGAATCACTCACTCAAAGTCCAGCGTTGTTGGCGTTCCGCAGCCCCCGAAGTTTCTCTTCCAGGAAACCTCGCCGAAGTTTCTCTTCCAGGAAACCTCGCGTCTTCCCTTGGCCACTCTTCAAGCTTCAATCTTCCTTGTCGGAAACACGTCGGCTTCACACACGCAGCTGTGGCCACGCGTCTTCGCTCGATAGCGGTAGACACACGCTCTTGCCTGTAGCTCGAGCCTTCACCCCTCAGGTGGAAATCCTCTTCATCTCCTGCTTTGTCGCTACGGACAAAACCTTCGCCGACTACACGGCGGGATCCCTTCGCGCTCTGGCGCTAACTTCAGTCTTCTCCTGCTCTCTCATCTCGGCTGCTCGATTAAATACCTTCCGCGCGAGATTCCAGAAGGTTCTCGTCATTTTGTCGGAGCGATGCGCAGCGGAGGCTGGGGCAAGGCGCAAGACTGTGCGAGGGCCGTCCCCGACAGATGACTCAACCCGGCATAACACGCCCCTTTCCTTCTAGAAATTTCCAGTGCTTGCTCGGCCGCCGTTGTGGGGTGAGGAGGTTCGTCGGCGAAGCCACGCTTCCGAGAGGAGAGGCTCGCGCGCCCGGGGAGCCTTTAGATGTTTCTTTTCCTTTTCGTTGACCTCGCGGCGTCACTCCGGCGGTTCGTCGCGAGAATTTGGCGGCGCGCCCTTTTTGAGCGCTCGTTCTGTGACAGAGACTCCTCATATAAAAGACAACAATTGCTCCCCAATGCATGTCTCTTATAAAGGAGTTCAACGGTAACATATTTTCAAAAGCAATTGTCAAGATGCTTTCTGGATGTTAACATGCAATCTTGTAAGAACTGTCTCAGCAATTATTATTTACGTTTTGCTTGCATCCAAAACACAAATGATTAATCTACTGATTAATCTACAATTTTAAAGTGGTATTGACACGAGCTAAAATAGCCTGCCGTATCGATTCTCGTAAACATGCCTATATCGTCTGCAAAATATCAACAGCGAATATTCTTTGGAGGGTACTTAAAATTGGTTTTGAAGTTTGAGTGAGCGATCAACTACCTCGTGTTATTGACACCCTGAAAGCTGACCCTTGCTGACCCCCTCCTTCCCTTGCGAGACCATGCTGCAACATTTCATGACGTCACAGCCGCCATTTTTTTTTTTGTCACGTTTGCACCAGCAGACTATTACTCGGTAGTTGCTCTAGAGTTTGTGACAGCGGCGCACGCGTTGGAAGTTTTGTGTTTGGCGACACTGCCGCCCCTCTTTCCTGTTCGAAAAAACTTCTTGATATGGACCGTGCAGAAGTGTCACAGTTATGTGTGCTGACGTGGTTGAAAGTTACACACACTAGGTGGTGATAGCTTTACTCAGCGACTTGTTTTTGGGGCTCTCTGAAAACCGCAACTGAGAGTGGTCAGCAATGAGGAGTCTGCAACTAATTACCTGTCGCACGCTGCAGTAAACAATGTGCCGTGTTATAAACAATGTGCCTGTTAAAAAAAAAAAAAAGAACGCAAGGCCAAAATTTTTGTGTCAGTACCCCTTCATGTCTCATGGGATACAATGCAGCTAGAATATCTTAACATGAGATATTGATTGATTGATATGTGGGGTTTAACGTCCCAAAACCACCATACGATTATGAGAGACGTCGTAGTGGAGGGCTCCGGAGATTTCGACCACCTGGGGTTCTTTAACGTGCACCCAGATCTGAGCACACGGGCCTACAACATTTCCGCCTCCATCGGAAATGCAGCCGCCGCAGCCGGGATTCGAACCCGCGACCTGCGGGTCAGCAGCCGAGTACCTTAGCCACTAGACCACCGCGGCGGGGTAACATGAGATATTAAAGCAAAACTACATCGAAAATCAGCACAGTGTCAGCAAGAGAAAGCCTCCTATATCGTGCAGCTTGATTCCAATTTACTGATCGAAAAAAGATAAAAACTGCTCTTATGGTGTGAAAAAATATACGTGCCTTGCCTGCACTAAATTGGATACTGCAAGCTTAGCACCATGTCTTTTTTCACGAGTTATTTTCCTGCTATTGCGCCATTTGACTCATGAAAAGCTTCCACTTAAATGCAAACAATGCGAGCAGGTAGCAATCTACATAATATCAAATTTATTTAAGATAGAGAGGGCTATTTGGTACCATGAGCAGTACGTAATTGCACTTTGCACTGCAACGTAGCTAAGTTGTTCTTTTATCAATAGGAGCGGTGAAGAAAGGGAACAAAAGAAATCTCAACAAAACTGCCTCAGCTAGGTATGTATGCTCTGAAAGTTACTTCTTGCCTAACTACAGTAACAATTTCTTTATAACAAAAGTTAAAGGGATGCCATAATTATTTTGTTGAACCATCACTATGTCATGGTTGTCAACAACCAATCTTTCACTAGGCAATTACAACCATCATAAAAGATTTGTCAATCAATTTTCGCCCATCTTGGCGAAGATGCCATCATGTGCAAAATCTTGTACACATTCCGGTAGTGAATGTTTTGTTGCATGGGTGATGTCAAAGTGGGCAGGCCTTAAATTTGCGAAGAATGGAAGGAACAAGCAATAGATAAGAGGGTGATGACCCAAAAGTGCAGAAAACTTCTTCCGCAAAACTGCAGCTCTAATTTGCATTGCTCTTTATTCACACAAACTATTACGAAAATGCTGTCACCCCAGCTATGCAACAATGAGAGGCAAATTCTCCAAACCAATATGAATTCAAACAGTAAAAGTTGCACGAATCACTTTCAAAATTTCACATTTGAGAGTTCCTAACATGAGCCGGGATACACAGAAATGCTACTAGTTTTTACACCATGAAACCAGAATTTCACCAATGATTAGAAATTAGGGTTGCACAAAGGCACAAAATACCACATGAACTTCAAAGCCCAGTGCAGGAATATACAACCATCCAGCCTACTAAGTTAATAGGAAAGGCTGTGAAAGTGTGGCAAAGTCAGAGTGGCTAGCACACCTCTTATAAAGTGCATCCAACAACTTTTCTATACAAATTTGTGAGGCCTATCCTCAACTGAAGGCATATTTTATGCTATTTTTCAAAAGGCCCTGTAGAAACCAGTGAGAAGAGTATGTGAACCAACCACGAAAAATTAATAGTGTTTAATAGCCAAAGTAACACATACATTACAGCAGATGTAGTGTACACAAATTGAGGTAGATTTATATGTGGGTTTTAACATCCTAAAACCACCATATGATTATGAGAGACGCCTTGGTGGGGGGCTTCGGAAATTTTCACCACCTGTTGTTCTTCAACGTGCGAGCAAATCTGAGCACACGGGTTTACTGCATTTTGGCCTACATCAAAAATGCAGCCGCCGTGGCCGGGATTCGATCCTGCGACCTTAAATTGAGGTAGAGGCAACAAAACCGACTTCAGCAAGCTAGATGATTTGGAAATGAGACCAAGGTCATAGTGCGGATGAGAATAAGAAAAATCATGAAAGAGGTTCAAATTGCAAACTGAAATATAGACACAAAGAACTCTGCTAATGCTAAATTAGAATGTGAAATGAAAATTCTTTTGATCATCAATGCTAAATAAAAGAAAAACGAGAGATTTTTAAAGGTTTTTTAAAAACATAGTTTGTTCAAACAGTCGTGCTTTATGCAACTTTGTAATAGCTAGTGAAAAAGTATGCTACAGATATTATTAATGCCTGTTCAAAGTAGTAGCTTTGCATGGTATCCAAAGTATGTGTGTGCGTGTATATAGCTAGTGTTTGTCATAAAACTCTTACTGCCTGCACAGAGAGAGCCACTGCTATTCCTCCAGCTTGGTCAAAGGCATGTGGGAAATTCAGTAAACCAGCTCCAAGAGCAGCATTGATGATGAGGAAAACAGCAGAGATCCAGGAAGAACCTGGAGGAAACATTGTAAAATGTCAGATGTCTACTCGTCAGACTAGCTAATTCTATGTACACAATACAGACTAGTGAAAAATATAACTTAGTTTTCTTGTAAACGCAGTAGGGTGAATGAAAGCCTGAGAAATCTAGAAGTTGTGCTAACCTAAATATATGCAAACATCGTGCTATTTACTGATATTGCATAAGGAAACTTGAAACTTCACCTATATTTTGTCTATGTAGAGTGCTACTAAAGACCTCTTTTATTGGGACTAAAGTTTTTATATATTTTTCCTCCCTCTTAACTATTTTCGACATGTTCTAGTATTACATATAGAATGGCAGTTCTTGGAAAAAGTGCTTTAAAAAACCTTTTACACCCAACACTGAAAGTACACAAACACTAAATACTGATAAAAATAAGCTATGCCTTAACTGTGATGAAACCAAAATAATAATTGGAAATACGACCTTCAGTTGCAATTTGTTGCGCGTTTCTCTAAAAGTATCTCTAAAGATGCCAATAGGTAAAGCCCACGAGAGCAAAAGGGGGCACCTCAGTAGCCGTTAGCCCAGTAATTATGAGATACTGAGAAAAAAATCTGCATGGAAGAAAATTCTACCACCTGTGGGGAACACATCCCCAACCTTTGAAAGCCAGTTAGTGTCTCAACATGCTACACGATACCAGTTGTCAAAAAAAAAAAAAAAAGAATGTTCCAAATTAGCTGCCATGGCTAGCCCTCTCAGGAGAACACGTACAAATATAGCCAATGAAGCAGAAAGGATGATGGCCACGACAGTAGCTCAATATCAGATGAATATTTCGAATGCTGGGGGGTCAGTACACCCCGCCAGAAGGTTGTTTTTACTTAGAAAAACAGAGTTGAGCTAGTTGGCAAGTATTCATTCTAAAAAAAAGCTGGGAATGTAAACAAGGTAGCAAGAAAGAAGTCAAGACAATACAAACACAGACTATCAACTACAAAAGCGCACAATGGCGGAAAAGAAGAAATGCACGAAAACTTATCTGCGCATGCCCAGGCAATAGGAGACTGTGTGAATCTGGCATGCGAGAGGGTCTGCATGAATGATAACTGTTAAGGCATTTGACTTCTTTTTTTATGCAAGTTAATCGACAGTTGACTCACACACTCATTGCGTGTATTCATTCTTGTGCCTGTACAAAACTGCGCCTTCATGAAATTTTGGCATGCCCTTACACTCTCGACAATGTAAAGACAGACAAAGCTGAGCATCCGATTAGCCATCTGTTATGTTCAATAATCTCTGGTTCACACAGCGCCCCGGACGTCCAGCAAAGAAGCGGCCAGAGCCAAAAGGAACCTTACACACCCCACCAACACAGCATACAGTGAGTGTGTTATACGAAACGAATGTCAGTTCGCTTTTTGTCTATTATTCATTCATTATTTCTCTGCTTAGTGCCACAAATTTTACCTATATAGCTTATTGGGAGATGTAAGTACAACATTAATGCAGTACCTATTCCCCACTTTTTCTTTTAAGCTACGAGATACAAAACGAATGCAAGGAATACCTATGTTACGTTTTTTCGTATTGCCTTCCGAGACCATACTTGGACTTATAAAAATAGACTCAGTGAGAGTGCAAACTGCAACACCAGGATAAGCTACATCTAAAAGATGCGTAAACGGTGCACAAAAGCTGTGCACTCATTTTGTGCTCACACACAGCCAAACATAATGCTTTGATTAGAAGCTTAGCACAGGTTTCAAAGATCTATGAGAATACTGCCGGCATATTTGGTTAATCTCAGACATTAAGAAAATGTCTAGAAATTGTGTTCCCTTATTCCAAGGCAATTTTTCATCCTCATCAGTTCACTTTGCTTCACATCATAATAACTATGTTCCAATTATAACAACAAGAAAGCCCCTTTTGCTTTCCTGGGCATCATTCAGTCTGCTTCGTGAAGCCTTTGGTCCAATCCACTACTTCTGTAAAAGCAGTACTGTTGTTCAGGTTCAGGTCAACAATTAAGCAGAGTATCTTTTTATATGCCAGCTTCAGTTACAGTCAGCCAGAGTATATGCTGCGACATCTGAAGTGAGAGATTGTTCAGGACACAGCATTGATTGATTTGTGGGGTTTATTGTCCCAAAACCACCATATGATTATGAGAGACTCCGTAGTGGAGGGCTCCGGAAATTTCGACCACATGGGGTTCTTTAACGTGCACCCAAATCTGAGCACACGGGTCTACAACATTTCCGCCTCCATCGGAAATTCAGGACACAGCATTGTATCAGCACTAGCCCTGGCTCTCAGCGGTGTGTTTGCTGTGCTGCTACTGTAAACCACACAATCAGTAGACAGCACAGAACTAGTATTAGGTGAACTAAGGCAAGGACCACAGTGCCCTTCATTTATGCTCACAATTTGACAATCTCTGCAACTGTAAAGAACTTCTCTCGCAGCACGCATGTCGAATAGGCTGAAGGCGTCCCATGCTTGCGAGTTGCTATTACCCAAATGACAATTTTGAGGACACCGGTATCCACACTGTTTGCAAACACATTTGAAGCCAAGACTGTCCCTTATCAGTTTAGTTTGACTATGTTGATAACCAACAATGGGAAAGCACGTCGAACAGCACTGACTTATTTGCCAACATGGCTAATCAATGCGCTTAACAGAAGAACAGAATAATGACACTTCGAATCGGCTTCTCGACATACGAACGTGACGTATGACAAGAGCGCCACAAGTATTTGAACGCTCTGAAACTTGGCAAACACACGCCAAACGCTAAAGTGCGTCGTTTTCGTTAATAATAACAACTATCGAAATATATCAGAGGCAGTCATTGCAATGAAGGTTGATTAGAAGTGAAAACACGCTTGAATGTTTGCATACTGTATCGCCATAACATCCATGGATAAGGCTCATCACAGCAGTACGCCCACCAAACCGCAGCTTCAGCTTTGTATTACGATATCACTAAAACAGGATAAAAAAAAAACCGCTGATGTTCACTGTTCGCGAACACAGTTTTGAGTAATAAATAAGTGACGCGTGCTTTTAAAAATATTAAGGACAGAGCAACCACGAGCGTGCTATTTACCTTTATGGCCATTGGATGTGGACGAAGTTGAACTTTCGTCTTGCACGTTGCCGACTCCCTGTGCCTCCAATGAATCCGTCGTAATGAACTTGACGTCGTATTCGGGCACTACTTGAGACGCTGACATTTCGTTGAGAGTCCAATTTGCGCGCACCTTAACTAGGTATTAAAATGTAAGAACGCTAGCGGCGCATCTGTCGAGCTCTACAGGGACAGCCACCTTGTCACCATCGCACATACTCAGCGCGAAGCCGAGGAGCCAAAGTTCCAGTCACCGTCTCAGCTGTTTCCCCCACGGAGAAAGGTGTGTTTCCCCGAACACGAGCAGCACGGCCCCACCAGCTGGCGCATTGGCCACAATGACCCCTGCGCACCCTAGTGTTCAGCAATGTTTACTGTCCCAACTCATGTTTACAATGCTCGCATTCAACTTCGACTGATAAAACCATGATACACCCATGATGATCAATAATAATAAACCATCAAGTGTTCAGCAACTAGCAACAGTATTCACACAAACTTGTTACTATCATGGAGTTTCCTAAATACTACGATTTGTTTATGGCAGCCAGTCATGCCGTGGTTCATAGCTGTAATGCTACTAACAAACAAAAAATATAACTATGCGTTAATATGAAAATAATTTCTTATTTATTTATGTGTCTGCAGTTAATTGCTGCAACTTTCTTTTCTTTTAAAATGTGCACGTGAAGCACGTTACGTGCCAGGTTTGCAGTGCCTCGAGGCGATCAGCTGACTGCCTTGATGACCAATAGGATCAGTGTTCTTCCGGCAGGCTATCATGGCAGCGGCTAGCTGAGGGAGATATGTCGTAGTTTTCGTTCGAACAGCTTCTTTCGGTGGCGAAGAATGGATCAGAAGAGGCGCCCATTCCCAATGCTAAACCTGCCACCTCGCTGCCGTTTCGTTAGCGCAGTCGAGAAGCATTCCCTAAGCGTCCGTGCCGCGCGATGCACGTAAAAGCGAGCGCTGGTCTTTGCCTCCCTGCACTAGTGCGCGTCAACAGCGGTCTGCTCCGATAGACGATCTGCCGACGGGATGGGTGGCAAACAGAGCACGACTACGTCTAACCCGCGCGTATCTGCGGGCTCCGGCGATACGACAGGAGCGACGGCGGCGAACGCCGCTGCAGGTGGAGGACTGTCTTCCCTGCTCGCAGGTGCCCACCACTCCTCCAGCAGCACGGATGCAAGGCTTCGGGCGCGCAGCCTGTCGAGCGTGCTGAACCTGCACCCGGGCCAGCCCCTGAGCATTCCGGCCTCTCAAAGTGGCTTCGGAACGCCTGAGTCGCCGCCAGAGTCCGGCTCGAGCACTCCGGACAGCACGCCTGTCGGCCGTGTCTTCGCAGCGCACTCACTGCCTGTGCAGCTGGTCTCATTCAACGGCAAGTGCTTCTCTTTTATCGCGCGCCCCGTGTGTCGTTCGAGGAAAGCGAGCCGCTTTCGGTTTTCCATCCGAGTTTATGCGAGTCGCTGTTGATTTGTTTTAATATCAGTCTGGCGACGCGATGTCTGGCCTTGAGAGGACGCATCGGGAAAGCACTTGCGTCAGCATCCCAGCACTATCGGCAATGCTGTTGTGGTTTCCATAGCGCGCATCTTTTGATGCCTTGTTGTGCCATCGCAGGCACCCGCTCGAGCTTCCGATGACAGCTGTTTGCCCGTGACAGGTCTTTCCCGGCATCGTATTGGGCCAACTACCGCGTAGACATGCTTATCCGTGGTAGCATCTGCGCATTTTATCGTAATGGCAAAGAGAACTGTTGTATTTAGAACACACAGGAACGATTCATCCGATGCCTTAACATCATCCTCCTTTATTTGATGTCCCCACGCGCTCATCCTCATCTTCTTTTCTATTCTCCCCGGCTGATAAAAAAAAAAATCTGTCGCTTGCGTGGCACACAGTTTCTGAGCTTCAATAAAGATATATTTTTTTTTCACTCGTCGGTTCTTCCGTGACGGCTGGCTGGACATTTTGTTCTGCAGTGAAGATGGTTTTGACCTTGATTCATCGTTGATTTGGGCTGCTGTCCCTTGCCGTGGCGTAGGTGGACAGTCGTGTTGTTCACTCGCAGTTGCACTACCTTGAAAGGGCTCGTCAGATGAGGGCAGATTCGAATCTAGAATTCCAGGCTGACTGCTTGTCAGCTTCCCCGCGGTGTCTGGGTGTATTGCTTGAAATTTGCTAGAGTTCCATTCGCGATCGGCTACCAAAAAAAAAAAAAAAAAGAGGCTGGCCCTCGTTGCTGAATAATTTTCTTCAGTTCCGAAAAGTGCGAGGATATTTTCCCGTGAACAGACGACTTTCTCATACGAACGTAGTCGCCGATGGCAAAGTTTTTGGTCTGGGCTCCACGATGGCAGTCAGGGTAAAATAAAGTTTGGAAAAAGCTTGTTTTTATTTGACACGCTGACGCACGACTCAGCTGGAGTTTCGTGAAGTGAAGAATTCGTTAATCCAACGATGCTTAAGCGAGTTCGTGGCAGTCGTCCGTGCAGGAGAACGGCGGGTGCAACTCCCGTTGTGCAGTGGTAGGCACCCAAATAGTCCGTCACGGTGACACGAATATCACGCCGCTGGTATACTGCCATCTGGACAACAGACTTGAGGGCTCTGTTGAACCTTTCTACAAGTCCATTTGCTTGCGGGGGTAAACAGAAGAAAGCAATGGCGTATGCCACGTTCCCAAATGAACTCCTCAAATTCAGCTGAGCGGAATTGTCGTTCGTGATCAGAAACTATTTCATTCGGGTAGCCATAACTAGCAAACGCTAGTAACAGGAAGTTCTTGACCTTTGCCATAGAAACTTGTCTTAAAAAAAAAAAAAAAAAACTAGCTATTTGTTGTGATAATCAATGAGTGTCGCCGCATGACAGCAATCGACTAGAGCTTGCTCAAAGGTGCCAATAATATCAATGGCAATTTTCTCCCAAGGCTTGTCAGGGAAAGTTGCTGGCTGCATAGGGGCTGCAGTAAGCCGTGCAGATTTGTCACATGACTGGCAAACAAGACATGTTTTAACCAGTTCTACATGGTCATCCATTCTAGGCCACCAGTACAACTATCACAGTCTACTTATCATACGACTGATCCCCGGTTGTGATTTATGCACGACTTCCATCAAACGACGAGTAAGGCTACTTGAAACTACGATCATTTCACCTCGGTAAAGCAAGATGTGCACAATGAACAGCTCTGCACGCACATGGGAGTATGGAATTAGCACCAGTTTAAAAGATTTTTTTTTCCAGGCCAAGATGACAAAACAAAGTCTATGACTTTTGCGATTATATTGTCAGATGCATTCACTGCTTGTAATTCTGCCATGGTCAACATGGAGAAAGACGGCAAACTGATTGTCGGTGACCTGGTCGTTTTCTCCTGGTAAAGGCAGTCATTGTAACTTGCTAGCAATGGATGGGAATAGACTCTCAAACCTTAACTTTGTGTTTGAATCCTTTGGCAAGTCTGAGCTGTTTGTCAAAGAGATGTTCATACTCGAAACGTAATGCACTTAGCAAAAATGTAGGAGTGCTGGAGGTCAATGCAAGGCACTGCAATGATTTACGCTCAATGTTTATCTGTAGTGCTGCAATGGCATTTAAGCCCAATACAGTCGTGTCTTTAGATACAACATGCAGAATAGTGCAAGCAGTTCTGTCTTGAAACGCAGTGGAAGCGACAAAACATCCTCAAACTTGTATCTTTGACTTGGAGTAGTCAAAAAGCTGCACTGAGGTAGACTTCAAAGGGCAAGTAAGTGCTTGTAAAAAACTGATAATAGAGTTCTTCAGCCAAAATAGTGACAGAAGATCTCGTATCAACTAGAAACAAGATGTGTGACCTTCCACTGCAACGAATGCATAAATGCCATGCTTGTGTCCTTTGACAACAGAAACTGTTTCGCCGCTACACTGTGAGCTTGTGTCGTCATCGTCATCAACTTGTCGAACTCTCGCAAAGTATTACAACCTACACATAACGTCTAAGTGCCCAATTTTCTCGCAGCGATGACATCTGCGCTGGTGAGCCTTACATGCAGGATTATTTGCTAGGTGATCAGCCGCCCCACAACAATAATAAGCTCGAAAGTTCGTGGTGCCTTGTACAGGATACCCCATTGCTTTGGCTTTGCACTTATCACAATGTGTACATTCATTTGTTTGTTCTGGAGACAGAAAAGCGTTTTGCGTCTTTTTAACGTGACGAACTCGAGCGTCGTCGCAAAATTCTTCAGCTTGGCTCACGGCTTGTTCGTACTGGTTAACGATTGTAATAGTTTGTGAGAGTGTCAGTAAGGAGCCTCCAAAAAGTAAACACTCACGTTACTGATGATTCGTAGTCTTCTAGACGAGCTGGTCACCTATCATCTCATCAACGAGACTTCCAGAGTTACAGTCGGGGATGAGAATTTGCAAAGCAGTGATGTATTCAACTGTCTCACCTGCATGCTGAGCACGGCGACTGAACCGTTGTCGAGCCACGATGACCTTGACTAAACGCTTGAAGTGATCCGAAAGCAAGGCAATTACAGAGTCATACGCATTTTGTCGAGCCGATGTCACCTGTACGCGAAGAGCTGGGAAGATTAGCGGTAGCAGGGCGAGACTGCAAGTCCGCTGGCTTCAATGTGAAGAAAATCCGATGCCCCTCCATGCCAAGACAAGTGATCAGGATTGCTTTTTCGGCTGGAAGATCTGACACTTCAGAAGCCACCATGTACGTCTGAAAAGCCTGCTTCCTCTGGTAGTATGGGCTAGCCGGATGACCAGGCGAAGGCAGGAAAGGCGGTGGTGATTGTAATCCCTGAACACTCATTGTGATGATGCAGCAAAAATCAGCAGGAACGTTGCTCTTGCATCGGTTCGAATCTCGTCGCCAATATGTTGTATTTAGAACACATAGGAATGAAGCATCCAATGCCTTAACATCATCCTCCTTTATTTGATGTCCCCACACCCTCATCCTCATCTTCTTTCCTATATACAACAAGAACAGGTCAGCCATCAGCAATGCCTACATGTCGGCATGGTGTTTTGCGTTGCGGCGATAAAGACGTAGCATTAAGCTTGTGTTCTTTTGCTGCACGGGGTCTCGGAGTATTTTTTTTTTTACCAGCATCGAATGGTCTTCGCGCATATTTATGCGCCTGAGCAAACTGGATAATTTTACTGAGTAGCTCATCTGTGTTAATGTACAACCCATTCGTGCAACCTCTCAGAAAAAGTAAAAGGCCAGACAATCGTTCCTGATAATGGCCGACTGGCTGTTAATGTTTGCCAGAAGTCAATTCAAGATGTCGTGAGTGTCTCGTAATTTCATATTATCACTGTTGAAGTTATTGTCATACGCTCCTTTATTAACAAAAGCACAGCAGAGATGTATTTATTGGAAGTTTATAAAACAGTTCCTCAGCGATATGTGTATTGTTTAGAATTACGTAAGCTGTATTTTCAGTGAACCATGTGCTCTCTGTTAATGCAAAAAGTCTTGGAGGCTGTAGTTGCTTTGGCTTTGGGAAACATTATTGCATATCATCCCTTAGTTTTATCATAGTTCCTCATGGTTATATTGTGAGCAAAGAAGCTACTAGATAAATTCAGCATTCTTTTTTTTTTTTTGCAACATTTAGTGCACTTCAATAAAGTGTGCCAAGTGTTGCCACTTCTGCTACATGTGGGCATTGCTGCTGCTTAGTATACATATCTCAAATACTCTATTCACTACATGGAATAGCGACTGTGTAACTTTTCGTTTTTTGACACTGTTTTGTAGTGCCGTGTCTTAGAATATTTACCATAATACAAACAGGTGTTCGTTTTTAATCTAGTAGGATAATATGCTAGAGGATCACTAGTGATACTGATTCGCCATATAGATGTGGCACTGAGCGTAGGAGAAACATGCTCGTTGAGACCCATCTGTTCTGTGTGTGCATTTAGGTACTTGCCCCCACTGAATGTGCCATATTTGGAAGGTTCTAAAAAGTGCCAGCCAGCCTCCCCTCACTGTTCCTTTAAAAAGAACTCTTTCTTTAGGAGTGAGAGCGAAAACAGACCCCAGCCTTCACGTGGTCGCAGCTACATGCAAGTGGATAAACTTTTTTCCAACTTGGCATGATGTCAACTATTTACTGCCCATTAGAGCAACTATGAACATTATTAGTGACTGCAGTCATGGGTTATGCTTGGAGCAATTCGATTTGTTCGATGGAGTTTGCAGATAAGAAATATATGGAAGTACTTGTCACCACAAATATATGCAAACTGTTTTTCCCAATTTATGTTCTTGCTGTTAGAGCATTTCCAAATCACGTCATATTTGTGGACAATTCTTTTTTTTTTTTAGTTGGTATCTAAAACGTTTTTTGTTTCAAAATATAGCAAGTGCCATAGAGAGTTGGTTCAAAAGAGAACTCAAAAAGCCATTTTTCTGAGCTGGTGGCTCATAGCTAAACGTGAATGTTCATGCTAAAAAGTCACTTAAAGAGAAAACATCGGGAGATGGGATATGCAAGCTTTTGCTCTGAGTGGCTGATTCATTCATGCTGAACTAGCTTTTATATTAATGCTAGGTTTCGAAATTCATGTAGCTATAAACAGTTGTCATTAGGGAGTTTGAATCACCTTGCCACAAGAAAGTTTGCAATAAAAGTGGTCATCATGCACACACAGTAGTATAGAATATTCTGCTTCATTGCCGATGTGCGCCATATGCATACTCCATAGAAATGATATACTCATTGGACATTTCTGTTGTCACACTTAAGCACTCTAGAAAAACAGAAAAACAACCCGCACAATAGATTACAACCACAAGGCATATCAACAACCCCTGTGTATTAAAAGAGCATTGCTTGGGCCTCTCTCTTGGTACACACCAAAACCCGCGATCAGTATTTTTGTTTGGTTTGGCGCATTGCTCATGCATGAATCCATGACTAGTTTATTTCGATAAGCTACGACACAGGTAATTGCAAATGGTGTTGAGATACCTGTGGCTAAAGAAATTCAATTCAAATTCAAACTCTTTATCTCTGCCTTGTAAGGGTACAGACAGTGGAGGTACAGAAAAAGCTGTCAGGGATACCTTGACAAAGTCGCGACACCCTTTGGCTCAGCAGCAGCTTACAGCAAGGTTCATTAAACAACAATATTAACATAGTGTAATGGTAAATAAACAATAATCAATAAATACAAAAGAGAAAACTAGAAGTGATTATGAATTTTAGTGTAAATATTCAGATTAAACACATACAAAGATGTATAAAAGGAATAAAAAATCAGTAGGGGAATGCAGCTCAGCGGGGCACAGATTGTGCGGAAAGAACGTGGTTTGTAGTTTCTATATATGACGGGCGTTGGTGTAATCGCAGTTGGAAATACAAAGGAGATGTATTATTTGGTAAGGTTATCTGAGAAGTTTGAGAGTAGCATCTCCTCTGCAATGAACACTTGAACGCCTACCTCGGTTAGGAATCGCATGCCTTTATACAATTCGGCTTTGTGAAGCGATGCACTTCGTGGAGCGGCCGTCCGGATGAGGCTTTACGTGCGCAGAGCTCCGATATTTGCGTTCCTGTCAGTTCGTGGCTGCACAGTAAGGTTCACTGATTGTTCGGCTCTGAATGATGGAAGAAAGCTCAGCTGACGACAGCAACTCAGCCTGTCCATGGTCGCTTCTTATGGAGAGAAAGAGAGGCTTTCAGACGATTCCACTCCCAGCAAAAAAGAAAAAAAAAGAACAATGCATCCAGTGTTGCTATAGCACCTAGCATTATGAATATTCCCTATTCTCTCTGGAATTACGATTGCTCAAGCATATGGTTCCAGTCACATGCAGATTGGACCTGATTTTTCATTTGAATTCTAACACAAGCACTAAATACGTCTGAGTGTGATCCAACAATTACCTGTTCATCTCTGTTTTAACTCTCTGGTGGCTTCACCGGTTTCATTGGAAAAGCGCGAGAAGTCTTCGATAGGCATCTTGACAAGTCACTGTACATTTCAAGTTTTTTTTTCATTTTTTAACTATTTTTTATTTATCTGGCATAGCGAATAGTGCGACATTGCCGACATGTGACAGCGCTGGACGCTCTGTCGCCATGTATATCAGCATCAAATGAAACCTGAACAGCGGCCAGCCCACGCGATGGTATAGGGAGCGCGCATTTTGTATGGCAGCTCGGCTCATATACGCGTGCTAGTCTATGCTGATTAGTGGACGGCGCGCGCTATACTATTGCGAAGGCTTGAAACTGTTTGTGTTTCATTTGACGCTGATATTTTCTCGTGAATCGAACTTCTGTGCTCCTGTGACTGGTGTGTCATCGCCAGCGCGATGGTATGTCATCGCAAGCTTACTGCTACTTCAAAAAAATGGCAGTTCACGTCATAATGTGGACATGCATGCATATCGGCAGTTGTTTCTAAGCGTCGACAGAAATGGACGTTTCTGCTTCCAAGTTTGATGTTGAGTAAATAATCAACACTTGTAGAAATTAATTGCAGTTCCAAACCTCTGGCATCGTGCTATAATTGCCAGTTAACTTTTAAAGTAACCATATTGTACTAATGAGATTCCAGTAATCAACCCAACCACTGATTTTTGACAAGGCTTAGGGGATCATCATGAACAAAGGCTTTATGTGTGCACTAATAGGAAAAGTCATGCTGGTTCTTTAGTTATTAGTGTACATTGTGTACATATGCTGCTCCACTTTAAAATGTTTGTCATGAAATTCAGGATCTTTACAACTGTAAATGTAGTGCTTCATGCATATTTAGTAATGTATCAGAAACTAATTCAATTGTATCCAGGTTGCGTCCAAACTTTGAATGAAGTGCATTGGTGCTCAACATATTTTTACCCATTAGTAAAGCAAAGTTGTAGAAACTGCAGCATTGCAATAGCAGATGTTATCTTTAAAGTGCATGTCTATAATTGTGTCTATAGCTCCATGGCATCTCTTTGTATACTTTGAATGTAAGAGAGCACTTGTGTTTCATCTTGTGGTCCTCTTCGCTATGGAAAAATGAGAAAATATGCTTTTATGATGCCAAACTGAATTAAAGGGATGGGACACTGAAGGCAGATAAAAATTTATGTAAGAGTGAAAGCTCAAGGTATGACCATGTCTTAAATGACAGTATTATCAACACTAGTACCCTAATTACCAAGAAATTGAAGCCAAATGCACCGAAACACATGCACCGCAAGAAGGACATACGCCAAATGATTCCAATGACGTTATTGGTTATAATTAATCACTAGTAATCAAACTAGCTGCAATAAAAAAAGAACCTCTCGTTCATCAAGAGACGTAATAAAATGCTCCCTGTCTGTTTATTTTTTATTTATATAAAAAATAACCGCTGTACCTTACTTTGGGGAATGGTGCAAGTGCTTCGAAAGTTCCATAGGCTTGGTTAAACTGTACAGGTCATGCCATCTCGGAGGCTATGGCAGAAAATTGTTCAACGCATGTTGTTGCTGCTGTGGCTCCCGCTACTTTCGCTCTGCTGCTACTAGTGTCAGTGGCCCCGCCGTAAAGCCGGGCAACGTTGTACACAGCAACGGTGATGCGAAAGTGTCTACTTTGAGGTGGGTGATTTGAAGCGTGTTAACGCAATGCCGACCACTAAAACGTAATTTTATTTCTAAATAAGCCTTTTCTTGGCACAAAAGCAGCCTTATGAGGTTTCTGGACCGCTATTTCATCAATCAACATCAACTTAATATTTGCCTTAATGTCCCTTTAAGAAAAATGAAAGTCCGCTGTTTTGTGAGCCATCAATGGTGAATTTAAGCTGCAAAAAGATACCTAAATGGGCTTGTTGGTACATTTGATGTTAGGACAAACTGCATAAAAATGGGTCAAGAGAAGTGACAGGCACAAATGCCTACGTTTGTCTCTTTGCACAGTTTATGTTATCATAACTCTTGTTTTAGTTTATTTGGTATGTTTATTTCGTTCACACATTTTTCTTTGCACAAGTTCACAGTGCATTTTCATTATCTTACAATGCCAGTTCAGAAAAACGGCTGCATTATGGCATCAATGCTTTATGGAAACGAATGTCGAGCAAGCCTCCTGCTTCCGCGATTACACCTCGCACTGTTTGTCCATGGTGTTGTCCTGGATGTGCTATGATAATGTTGGGAATGCCTATTTTCTGCGAATTAGTGGTTGCCATGAATAATGTTGACATTCATTTACTCCTAACACTCCAAAATTTTAAATATGAGCAGTACAACAGTCTAGTTCTAATGTTGTTGAGACAGAAAACATTCACATATTGCAGTGACATTATCTTAAATGTGAACATTGATTTTAGAAACATTTACAGTGCTTGTTGCATTGGAGCCCTTATCTGCAACATTTGACTGGGCCTGAGGATGGTAGTATAAAATTCTTGTGACATCATTTTTTCCTACTTTATAGTTCAGATATTGTTTAACTCTCAATCCTCCCCTACCATTTCATTTTTCTTGTATGCAGGTATCAAGTGCCCCGTCTGTTCAAAGTTTGTTCCGCCTGACGACGTAGAGTGTCACCTTGTCATATGCTTGACAAAACCAAGGATCAGCTACAATGGTAAAACCAGCAGCTCTTTCTCTCTCTCTATCACAGCTAGTTGGTCTCACTCACTCTGTGTGAATCAGAACAGTGTGAGGACCTAAAGGACCTATACATATCAGTATACAAAGAGTTGTAGAAGTAATGCAGAGCCTTGTACCACCTATCATAAGATACTTTGCACAATTTTGTCATATTCAAGGAAGGCCATAATATAGAGGCCAGCAAGAGGGGCACATCCATATGCCAGGGCAAGATACCAAGAACTTTCTCTTTTTATTTTTTTCTCTTTCTTTCTCTTTCTAAATAAATTTATTAAAAAATGTTTTACTCAGAGTGAGCAAAAAAAGCATCTTGTGCACTCATGTTGTCTCACTGGATCGATATTACAAGCATGAGGTCATTGCTTGTTTCAGTGAAATATAACATCCCGGAGATTGTACTCACAATTTCAGTTATATATTTTTCGAATGCATGAAAAATGTCTTGAAGTTGTATGCTTGGAACTGGCCATTAGTGTAGTACCGTATTTACACAATTGTAGGTCGACCATTTCATTAAAATGTGACAATACAGTGTTGAGGGCTCAACTTATAATCGAAAACGAGTTCCGGTTGTGAAGTCTTTCTAAAAATGATCGCGTATTTTTGCAAAGCTAGCTTTCCTGCACAGCTTTCAAGGACTGTCATGAAGCCACCTTTGCATCAGAAGCTTCACGACGGGCCAAAAACAATTTTTTAATGAAATGTGCTTGGGCTCCTCTTTTTTTTTTATGCCTTGCCATTTTCAGAAGTCAACCTATATTTGAGTCGACATATTTACAATTGTGTAAATATGGTATTTGCTACCATTTTCTTTAGGGGAATTTTACTATCACCTTTTTATTGTGTATTGTTCATATGTCAATGTTGTGCCACCCAAAAGTAATACATCGGAATGTCTAACATCTGCTTCCCAGTCTCGCAAGAATAACTCTTACAGTGGTGTAATAGCTTCGCCAATCGCACCAAACTGCACTGAGAGGTAACCACTGCTACATCCTGCTACATTTTTGCAAAAATCTCATAATTTGCATTGAGCATTCACTGGTGCAAGTTATGATACTTTCTTCAAGCATGTGCCGAAAAAAATGCAAACCTGCTGAAATCATATTCAAGTTAAGCTACACTGTAATTTCAAGAAGGCACTGGGACATATTGGCAAGTGCTCCGCAGTTGAAGTAGTTGCTAGGCACAGTACTGTGTAACAATTTAGACTGGCCTATACTGTATAAGTCAACTAGGGTCTTAAGTATTGTCTCCAGAAAATGCAACAGCAAGCAAGTACCCCGCAGCGAAGCCCTAGATTGTTTTGACAGTGCGAGCGTCATCTAAATAGTAAACAGTATGTGCAGAAAGTTTACATACTTTTGCTTTCATTACTGGAACTGCAGCATCAGGAAAAATCATATTCATTCACAAATAGGAGGAGCATGTTAAGAAAATGCAAGGTGCCCTGAAGTCATGGCTCTAAAACCTTAGGCTGTCACCAGAAATAGGGAAGCAACTCAATTAAATTTTTTAAGTATCCTAAGTAAAGGTGCTTGTATTTGTGCATAAATTGATATTGTTAAGCATGTAGTGCAGCTGGTCCACCTGGTAGACAAATGCTTATATTTGAAAATATTTGCTTGGTAACTGCTCCAAAAGGGTGTGCGTCTTCGAAGCAAAGTTTTGGCTGCTTTGAAAGGTGCGCCAAAGTGGCTTCGGTCGATCACATCACTGCTGTTGTATGGTGCCACAATAGGCTCACATGTTTTATGGGCTGTGAAACCCTTTAACATTACAACCAGTGACATTGATGATGCTTCTGTGTAACGTTTGTCAAAAGGGGCCCTGTTACAATTTTCAAGCCAAGTAATCATTGAATGGTTTCCTAAAGAGAGCTTATTCCCTTGTGAATCCACTGCTGAAATTTTTTTTTAAAGGTACAAACGGAATCGCAGGGATTTGTCACACGTTTCAAGTGCTTTCTCTCTCCTTTTATTCTCGCGAGAACGCTGAAAGCTACGGAAACTGATAAAGAGGCAAGAAAATGCGTTCTTTTGTTAGCACGCATCATGGCCTTGAGAACTTTTTTTTTTGTGGCTTACTTTCAACATGATCACGTGCACGCAAGCACGGGGCAGCATCCCACAGTGAGTAACCATGGGACTCTGGTGCTGCGATCGTTTAGCCACCATAGGAATGATGGGTAGTACACAGATTTGCTTAGTATTCATGCTTGCGGCTCCGAACACAATTGTGAATTTGTTTATTGCTGTGTTTTGGTTTCATTTCAAATGAAAGAACGCACTGTTGCATACTTCGTGACCCTATTTGAATTTGTTAGCCTAAAAAGGTTAAGGTGGTGAACTGAAACTGCTGAACATTTGCTGATTGTCGTCTCATGACAAAGCGGCTCCGGGCCACGCCAAGCCAAATGGAGCCGAAAGAGTGAATATTCGACAAATTCGCGTTCTACTCATCACTCCCATGCTGGCTGGAGTGCCGTGCATTGTAGCTCCCATAGACACTAGCGCCAGAGTTCCCTCTAGTCCATTTAGAGGAAACTCTATGTCGATAACTATGCAGTTCACAGTGCTCAAATCAGCCAATCTCCGTTGACTTTTGGTGTATAGCGAGGCCATTTAGGTTTATCGCATCATTTGTCGAGAGAAGAAAGAATGATTTCTAGCTGACTTCGAGAATTGGTGACTGCGAATTGTAGGCCGCGTGCTGCACATAAGACTTGGCTTGCGTGTATTCGAAAGCCACGACTGTTGATCAGCAGTGTTTTTTGACCATGCTGAAAGAGTGTTGTGGGGCCCTTTTAATGGAAAGGCATTGGTCGCGGGTGCCATTCCCACACCAGGACAAATTTTTTGGTTATTAAAGAGCTGTCTTTCTGAGAAATCTGCATGTATTCCCTTTGTTGCCTTGTGCTTCAAGTGGGTGGTAGTTGATTTTCTTTTCTTAAACCTCTGTTACCTTGCGGGATTCCGCAGAACTGTTTTGCGATAATCTGTATCCCAGACAAAAACAAATTTTTTGGCAAATGAAAAGCTTTCTTTGTAAGAAATCTGTGGTTTTTCTTGTGGCTTTGGCTATAAACAGATAACTGCCTATGTCCATTTCTTATGTGTATTCACTATATACCGCATTACAAAAGCTAATACTTTCCAGTTTAAAAAATAAGACAATCCAGGTTGATTCAGATGAAGCTTTGAACAGCTTGAGTGAAATGGAATACGATATTTGCACTCATGTGTGGAGTCAGCAGGGGGTGCTTGGTGCACCATTTAGGTTATGTCTTCTTATAAACAGTGCACTGGGAAGACTGAAGGGAGTTAGTTTTGTACGAATGTAGTGCATTGCTATGGTAAGTGTGATCATCAAGAGACAGATTTACATGTTCATCTATGTGGTTCACAGCAGCATGCTTCCCACATTTGCATTTCTCTCTGTCCATTCTTTGTAATATAAGCAAGTGATATCAGTTGGGTGGACAGTCCGGTGTGCTTACTGTCTGTCATCATTGAAAATACTTGCTGTCTCACTTTGTTATATTTAATAATTAAGCATCTGTACGTATAATAATTTGTATACCTTAAAAACAAGCAAGTAAATGTCGACATTTCTTGAAGCAAGTGGTGCACTTCTGCCTCATAATGCAAACTGTGTGTGACAACTATGACTTTATATGTGCATTTCTGCATACATGTAAGGGAAGGAATACTATAATAAAAGGCTTCTGAAACTCTAGGCATTGTGGTGCTGTATGAAGAATGACGAGGGGTGTGGAAGATTGATTGATATGTGGGGTTTAATGTCCCAAAACCACCATATGATGAGGGGGGGGGGGTGAGGAAGAATGTGACAAGAAGTTAACAGTAGTATTATACTGCAACAACCGCTTATGCACGCTTGAGTGTTCTTGGATGAGAATAACTGCAGTAATTCTTTAAGCAGCAGAAATGTGATTGTTTCAACTGCCATGATGCATCAATTTTACACTGCATATTTGTGTAGTGAGCGGGTCAAACTGTAGTTACTGTATGTGAATTGAATTTTGAGAATGCCACCTCAGTAACAAGAAAAACTGCATTAACACAGGAGTTAGAACACACTTTTCAAATCTACCAGAAGTATGTAGCATTCATTTGAGCCACTGTGTGTCATTATGGCCCCGCGGCGGTGGTCTAGTGGCTAAGGTATTCGGCTGCTGACCACGCAGGTCGCGGGATCGAATCCCGGCTGTGGCGGCTGCCTTTCCGATGGAGGCGGAAATGTTATAGGCCCGTGTGCTCAGATGTGGGTGCACGTTAAAGAACCCCAGGTGGTCGAAATTTTAGGAGCCCTTCATTACGGCATCTCTCATAATCACATAGTGGTTTTGGGGCGTTAAACCCCACATATCTATCTTTGTGCCATTATGCCATAAAATGCATAATAGGCTTGATTCTTTGAAATGAAGTCCTGGGGGAAGGACTTCGTCTAGCATAGAACAGGATGTTTAGCCACTTTTATGTCTTGTACAATGCAGTGAGAAAAATTTTTGTCTGAGAGCATTCTTTGTGATGGGCTGGCAATGAGGTCATCAACATAAGAAAGGTTAAGGTTTCTTTAAACCTTATTGACCTCTGAAAACTTTGCTTGCTACTTCAGTAAGCCGAAAAGCACCCTGACATACTCTAAATAGTGCGTAATCTGGGGACTTGAGGTGATCTGATCATACGTTTTCAGAAGGTCAACCTTAAAAACAAAGAAATGATACATTTGTTACATAACATTTGGAGATAGTCTTGGATGCACACATAAGGAGAGTGGTTGTGAAGGGTCTTAGCATTGAGTTGTTTAATTTCAGAGACATTTGGGTAGATCAGCCTTGAATTTCAATGAATGACAATGTGCATAAGATCTTGGAGCAGATAAATCCAGGATACATTTGCTCTAAGCTGCACTGTGGCTTTGACGCCCCTAAATGTTGTTAAATGTTGCTAATAATCTTGATTTGTTGCACCACTGATGCGACTTCAATAATTCAAGAGCTGTTGGGTATAAACCTGATTCAGTGCCACTATAAGACAGGGGCCAGTTCTCTGCATGCTTGCCAAGAGCACGGCAAATTCAGTGTCTTGTACTTTGAAGATATTGATGTCAGTGGTGTTTTTAATGCATGCTCATTTTTGTGGTGTATAGCATGGTAGTGCTGTGAGCAATGATCCTGCATTCCATTAATTTCAAGCATCCTGATATGACAGAGTGAGCAACCTTCCTTCACGTTTTATCAGGTTCCATGGCTATGAATTCAATATTCAACGAGACATTATTCATGGTAATTCAATTGGCGACTCCCCCTCTTCCTTTTCGACCATTGGCGCGCCTCTGCAGTAGAACACCTGATTGCCACACAGAGAGCCTCGATTCGGTTCATACTTATATTACAGATCTTTATTATTTATTTTATTGGCAGGTTTCTTTTTTTTTTTTTTTTTTTTTTTTTTTGTCACGGACAAGGTAATGTTTTCTCGCTCACAACCGGATACACTGACATCGGAATTTCCTTCTTCTTCTTCTTCTTGCTCTCTCTCTCTTTCTGTTTTTTTTAAGTTATTAGGCACTACGATTGGCTCTCCTATTTCAGTTATATCTGCAGACATACATTTCATGTTTGTGCTCCTTTACAAAGACATGCAAGTCATTTAGCATGCCTACTAAAGAATGACGATCATTGCCAGTTCATTTTGAGATAAAACAGAAGTTCTGTGTCACGTGAGAAATTCTACAGAAGGACTTGAGGAATTTGTTAATGTCAGTGTGGTTGATAGCCTTACCACTGAATGTAAAGAAAGCACCAGTCTATTGTCAAGTATAGCGCCACTCTGCGTGCCCATCTGTCCTTGCGTAGTTCTGCGCTACGCATTTTTTTTCAGAAGTCATGAACCACCTAGCCCTACTGAACATTTTCTTAATCTACTGCATTTTTTTATTCATTGAGACCATATCTAATTTCTCTCCTAGGCTATATTAAGCTCAAGTTGAATTTCAGCTTTGAATCCTGCAAACTAGTGCATTGATGCAGGATCATTTTGTTGCCCCCAGATGATGTGCTCACAGAAGACAAGGGAGAGTGCGTCATTTGTCTGGAGGAGCTTAAACGAGGGGACATCATTGCTAGACTACCATGTCTCTGCGTCTACCACAAGAGGTGACCTTATTTGCACCTTTTTTTTGTTAATCTCTCATGGTGACATTTACATGTAGCTTAATGTAAACAATGACATATCTGAGGAGCATTGTTTCAAAGAATGGTTTTACTATCTTACTACATGTGCGTGTCCTGCGTGATCAGAGTTGAAGAATTGTACTCTTGCCACTATGTGCTTGGCTGTTGCAGTGTTGTTACAACTCGCATGACACCAAATATCTAAATACTTGCTGGAAGATATTGTGTTGTTTGGCTCACTACAGCCACTAAGCAGTGAGTGCCATCATGAAAGCTATGGCAACGTTACCAGAATAAGCTCAGTTTGAAAGCTTCGCCAGAGAATGGGGCCGGGTAGCAGTCGCAAGAACTAGTGGCACTGCAGTTCGATTTTGCTCTCGCGGCGCCCTTGTTGTGATCGGCGGTGGCGATGGCAAGTGGTTACTTGAATTGTTGTGATCGGCGGTGGCGATTGCCAGTGGTTACTGTGAATGGCGCACTGTATTCACACATCACTTCTTGGGCTATTCATGACATGGCATTGTTTTTTCTACAAAAACGCATTTGTCATGTATGCTTCATACTGAGGAGCAGCAGATTTATCTACAGCGAGGTACGCGGACTTGTTTTGCGCCGAGCTCCACCAGCCATGACCGCAATGATGACTCTGCTTCACACAACTCGTTCGTTCATTTGTTTATTCATTTATTCTTTTTTTTTTGTAAACATGGTTACACAGGGGCAGGGGCCAAGATAAAAGCTGCTATAAGCAGCTAAAGAAGCTCATATATGTAGCCCACCATCTCTTTCGCCCTGTGACGGACGATCGTAAGGAAATTTCGTCTCTAGCCTTGCATATTACCCGTGAGTTCATATAGTTATGCAAGTAAAAAATATCGTTTCAATTCATCATCATCATCATTATTATTATTATTATTATTATTATTATTATTATTATTATGACATGCGGCAGCAATGGGCAGATATGGCAGAGGTGACGCCATTGAGTATTATGTACGTATAGTATGCTGTGTGAAATAATTACAAAACAGTTACAAACACAGCATTTACAAAGCTTCGCCTTCAAGAGTAGGCCGCGATAGTATAACCGAGCCCTGTGCGAATCATCTTCTCTATGACTAGCCTAGCTTCGGTCTCAGTGTATGCCTCAACCATGCAATGAGGGAACAAACAACTGTGTGTGCAACGCTGGGCTTTTCAAACTATCGTAGGATGTCTATTGAAAGTACAATTGTAAAGTGCGAACTACGCCAATCTGCGAAGGGCCCTCTATGCGTGCTTAAGGCAGCATGCAAACAACTATTAGAGCGCTTTGTAATGGGGGAGCCTTCAAAACACCCACTAGTTGTGCATTTCACATGTTTTGACGCCTGGCACAATTCTACTTTTCTACCACTAAATATTGCGTGTGTTAAAGAGATTCTTTCTACTACATGACACTTTTTTTTTCTTTTAATCAGTTTTAACCATTGGCGTGCCTCTGCAGTAGAACACCTGATTGCCACACAGAGAGCCTCGGTTCGATTCGTACTTATGTTACAGATCTTTACCCCCGAATGCAGAGACGTTACTTGACTCGTACTTGACTCGTTCTTGACTCAAGACAGTCTTGCCGGTCACCATAAATCGTTCTCGAACTTGTGGACTACTTGAAGGCAGCTTGGCTCGGTCGTAGTCAGGACAAGTTTCAAGTCAGCTGCAGGGCTAGCTTGAAAGCGACTTCATGCGTTATTCCAGCATGGCCATCTCTCGAATGGACGTCGCGCGGAGGGTGGCGGCTTTTGAGTTTGCTTGCCTCGCCATAAGTGTAGCATTTTCTGAGGCGCACTGCCTGCCGAAGATTCTGGGACTCGCTTTACGTGACCGAGGAAATCCAATGGAGTTGTACGACGAGGAACAATTCCAAGCTCGATACAGATCCACGAAGAACCCCGTGCGGCAGCTGCTGGGTATGTTGCCACTCCGTGAAAGTGGGGACAACCGAGGACAGCGTGTGCCTCCAGTGTTACAGCTACTGATGGCTCTCGGATTTTAAGGCGCTGGCACATTCCAAACAGTCACCGGAAATGTCGTACGCATTCCGTAGTCGACAGTTTGCCGTGCAGTAGGAAAAGTTACGCTACTCATCACAAAGCACCTGTATACGCGATGCTGGTGCGCTTTCCACAGCCGGCCGCACTTTCTATAGTTATGCGGGACTTTTATGAAGTGGCTGAGTTCCCTGGCGTTACAGGTTGTGTTGACTATACACACGTGCGTATTAATAGCTCTGGTGGTGACTACGCCGAAGTGTTCCGTAACCGCAAATGCTATTTCTGTTATTCTAAAACACGACGACATTTTCCGTCTCTTTCGGTACAAAATTGACTCAGCGCTGTGTCTGTGTGCCTCGTCTATCCTTACGTCCCGTCTAGGGCACTGTTTCTCGCTCAGAAAAGCATCGCTTGTAGCATAACGCTACGTAAAATTCCACACACATAAAAAGAGGTGCCCCTATGTGTTTTTTCAATCCCCTTCACCATCATGCAGCGAAACATTGCTGCACCCCGCGAGACAAAATTCTGCTGAGGGCAATGTCCTGACCCCCCTTTTTCTCTTGTTTACCAAGCTCAACAAAAGGATACGAATCACATTTGTTCCCAGAACTAGTTTTTTTTTTTTTTCATAATAACTGCGACCTAGCCCACTACAGGCATGCACACGGGTGAACAGAAAGGCAAATACCGTGAAAAATCGCGTCACCTCGTGAGCCAGGTCAGCACAAATACATGCCGTGGCATTCGATTAAAAAAAAAACGACGAAAGAACCTAACGCGATGCTTGTTTCGCCTCCAAACAAGCAACCATGGAGTAACGCGCCACATTTGGGTGGCCGCTAAAACCAGCGGGCAACGAACGCTTTACAGAAGCAACACTGTGCATCGCTGTGGCGGCAGGCACCACGTGCCGCTCGTTAGTCGTAAAATGGCAAGAATATGCTTTTGGCCCTTCGTTTTTATAGTTATTTTAAAATGTGTGGTCTTTTTTTGCTCTAATGCATGCCTTACGCGAACAACTTCATTATTACCCTCGTTAGCAGGCGAGCCGCGTGTTTCTGCTTTGAAGCTCGTTCTTGACTTGACCAAGCAAGACAGCCTGAGCATCTATGAAACGCGAAGGCTGACTTGGGCGTTTTGAAGTCCGCTGCTTGCTTCACGCCGACTTGCTCAAGTTAAGTTGAAGTCGCGAGCCAAGTAACATCTCTGCATTCGGGGGTAACTATTTATTTTATTGGCAGGTTTCTTGATTTTGTGTTTATTTTATTGGCAGGTTTCTTGATTTTGTGTGTCACAGACAAGGTTATGTTTTCTCGCTCACAACTGAATACACAGACATTGGAATTTCTACAAAACGAGTTTAAATAATATACAGTGCATAAATATTATAACTATAAATGAAAAGACACTAGTTTATCCGACAATGTAATTTGAGCCATGTTACTATAGCCAAGTTTTTAAATCCGGTGGTGAAGTAAATCTTTTGCATGCCATAATTTGTTCTTGGTTAGAGCATAAACCGTTTAATATTGATCTTGACAGACCTCCGAAGAAATCTGGTGCAATTCAAAAGGTGGGAGCAAACTTTGCGCCACAAAGATAGAAATATCACTGCCAAACACAATGTCTTTGACGTTCAGTTTGAGTATGACGACATGAAAATGGACTACCGTCATGTTTTTCTGGACAATAAGTTTTGAGCTCACGCAGAAAGTGAGAGCTCGCGTCCAGTACTCTTCCACGCTTGTTCCCAGCAATTCTACTCCATGTATCAGAGCCAAAATGTTCATAACCAAGGTGCCGATCCCCCCCCCCCCCCCCCCAAAAAAAAAACGCATGGTATCTCTCGAATGCCTACTTCCCTGTTTGTAGGAGCCGCCAAAAATAGAACAGCAAGATGAAAGGCACGCGATGAACAACGCTGTCAATACTTAGAGAGTTGCATTGCATTGACATTCGATCAATTGTCACCTGTCACGCTGTCTTCAAAGCAGTGGATATTCATATTTTAAAATATATTTTTCTTATGAACCAACACAATCGTATATAAGTGGTCATCTTTTACCAGTGACCATGTTTTGTTACATTCGCTTTATATCACAGCAGCAGGTATTTTCCTCAATTGCAGCATTACCATTTCTCAACCTTACAGCAGGTAACAGGGTGTAGCAAATGTCGGTGTCGCTTCTTCATGGGGCAGCATAGTCCACCAGTAACACACTATGAGTGTACTACATCCGGGGGTACATTCGCAGAAAAATTGAATAAGTGACAACATACAAATAGTGCCTAGCGTTAGTCACAAGTACCCCTGGGGCAGCCACACCCAAATGACACGAAAGTGCACTCACTCAGATGAGGTGTTTTCAAGAAGGCTGCTTACATCATCCCTTATGCGGTCTTTTTCTTTCTACATTAAAAGCAATTGAGAAAGCTATCTAGAAGCATTTCACAAAAGCCCCACACAGTATAACCTCATTACAACGAATCCGCTTACAACAGACATTCGGTTACCACATACCGTAATAACTCGAATCTAACGCGCACCTTTTTTCCGGTTAAGCCAGTTCATAAATCGCATGCGCGTTAGAATCGAGTACGAACAAAAAAAATTACGGTCAATCTATTGCCATCGGCAAATCCAAAATGGCCACCCCCTATATGCGTCGGCATGGCGCGTCGGCCATTTCTGCCTATGTGTTTCCCACGTGCGGCACTTCGTACGTGTGCTGAGGAGTTCATCTAGTAGTGCATTAGCATCGACGGCGTGGAAGGGCCGACTCCAAAAACTCGAGTGCACCACGATGCCGATTTTAAAAGAAAAGTCATCGCGTGTGCAGAAACGAACGGAAATCGGGCCGCATCGCGGTCGTTCGGAGTTCCCGAAACGTGCGTGCGGGACAGGCGGAAACAAAAGCAGAAGATTGTCCACAGCAAAGCTTCACG